ACTCTCCCTCTTGAAGCAGTTGGACAACCTGAAGATGGGAGGCCAGGAGAGGGTGGAGGATTACATTAATCGCGCAATGGCCGTTCGGGATAAACTAGCACTGGCGGGGAGGATGGTGGATGAGGACATGTTCACACTCCACTTACTGACAGGACTGCCACCACAATGGGAGGACTTGAGGCATGCAGCCATGCTACAGGATGTGACAGATGCCTACACCCTTCAGCGGATGATGATGCAGGAGCAACGCTACCAAGACCTCATCACCAAGTCCAACCGCGATCGACGACCTTCGCGTATGGCTGGTCAAGCTGTTCGCCGATCGTACGCCTTCTCCAACTACAACAAGGGGCCAAAGGGACAATGGAAATCAAGCTCCATCACAGTCAGCAATGGGACAGCGGCCTACAGAGCAGCAGTCGAGTGCAGGACAAGAGGGTGATGGAACGAGGGGACAGGACAGGAGAGGGAGGTGAGCGGATCTTGTGTGTTGGTACTGCAAGCAGCAGGGACACCCATACTACAAGTGTCTAACAGCACCAGCAGGTTGGGCACCTCCTGGATGGGAGCCACCACATAGAGGCAGGACTGACCAGCATCGCAGCAACACCAACATCAACCGCCCTACCTCTCCTCGAAGGAGTCCTAGCCCTAAGCGGGACCAGGGCGGATCTCAGCAGCATGGCACAGCTAAGTCAAGACCGAAGCATACTGTCACCTGCTTCACTAAGATTCAGTCAGCTCAAGCTGCACTGTCTAAAGGTGATGACTCATCGTGGCTCCTTGACAGCGGGTGCAGTCAGCACATGACGTCGGACAAGCGGTGGTTTGAGGGCTTAAAGGAGTTGGAGGAGCCAATTTGCATCGAGCTAGCATACGGGAACTTCCTACAAGGGACGATGGAAGGGACCATTAGGGCTAGGGCCCTTGATGGGACCACAGTTCGCTACACCAAGGTGCTCTACGAACCTGCCCTCAAATCCAACCTCCTATCCTACTGTCAGCTGCATAGCAATGGAGCTCGGATTCACACGCGTGCTGATGGAGTCACTGAGATCAGCATGTCTGATGGGGATGAGTATGTGCGCATGGGACTTGGCATGAACATGAATGGGGTGCTCATGGTGCAGTATAAGCATGCGCTTGAATCTGTGCAAGAACACAGTTACACACATGGGGATGCAAATGTACCTGCACATGTGGATGGACATGGCACAACGCATGGAGAGATGGATGGTCATGCGCATGGGACACATTCTGCTCATGCACCTCCATCATCGCTCGGGGCCCATGCATCCATCACGTATCGCATGGCCCACAAGCGCTTAGGCCATCCATCATATGCTGCCATGCATATAACATTTCGGAATGGAGATGTTGAAGGACTCTCCATTTCTGACATTTCCAACCCCCTCAAACCCCCTTGTGACCCTTGCAACCGAGGAAAGATGAACAAGTCCCCTTTTCCATCAGGCGGTGACAAGAGGACTACTCGTCCTTTGGAGCTCGCACATAGCGACATCATGGATCTGGGAGATGCTCACCCCTCCCTGCGCTACGTGCTGACGCTCAAGGATGACTACACCAATTACCTTTGAGTGGCACCACTGTCGCGCCGATCGGATATGCATGAGGTCTTCTCGGCGTGGCATCGAGAGATGGCAACCAAGCTGCCGAAGGCGCCGGTGGCTGCTTTGCGCACAAACAATGGTGGGGAGTACATAGCGCATGCCTTCACCGAGTACCTGGACTCGAAGGGGATCGTTCATCAAACCTCGCTACCCCATACGCCGCAGCAGAATGGGATTGCTGAACGCGTCAATCGCACGCTCATGAATCGTGTGCGGGCCATGACCTCGGGGGCCAGTCTCTCCCCTAAATTCTGGCCTTACGCTCTTGAGTATGCTGCCTGGCTGCACAACCGCATCAGTTGCAGCAGTAACCCCTCATCTCACTCTCCTTCATGATGACGGGGTGTGCTGCTGATGTTTCCATGGCACGGACCTTCGGGTGCCTTTGTTATTTTCTCCCCCCTCAAGGCAGCTTCGGCAAGTTTGAGCAGCGAGGTCGCGCTGGGATGTTCCTTGGGCTCTCCACCTCACGGAAAGCGTGGATCGTGCGGGATTTGGCGAGCGACGTTGATACTGACACCCGCTCTGCTCGCTTCTTCGACGATCTCATGCTCCCGGATGCTGAGTCTTTGCTCGAACGCCAGGCTAAGCCGAGGAAGTCTCACCCCACATTGCTGGGTGGACTTCAGGGGGAGGAAACGCGGCTTCGGTGTTCGATTCTTTTCCTGACTCCTCTACCCCATCATCCTCTTCCTCCAACAGCACCTTTACTGCAGCAGATGCATCAAACGCAGATACCACTCCAGGGGGCGACCTGGGCGACCACGCATCAGCAGATCTCCCGCCAGCAGGATTATCAACCCCTGGAGGAGTGGAGAACACTGACATAATGGAGGAGACAAGTCGTCTTTACGACTTCACTCACCGACCCACAGGGATCCCGCTTGTTGAAGGACAGTGTGGAACGCAGCGGCGGGTTCAGTTTAATCCTACACTGACGGTGTTCGGAGCAGAAGGGGAGAGGGCGGAAGAGCAGATGACAGAACTGAACGTTCTCTTACAGAAACGACAAGTGGGGCAGGCGGTGCGAATAGTTCAGGAGATTCTTTTGGGAGCCACCTCACTTCCTGACTTGCAGCAGCGGGTGCTGAGGTGTGCAGCGGCAGGAGTGCACATGGTTCCTTTGACCTGCAAGGAGCCGAAGGCTCTGGATGACGTTGACAAAGACCCATACAGACCATTTTGGCATATAGCGGTGGACGAGGAGTTGGACAAGTTTGATGAACTTGGAGCATACATTGTGGTGAATAGGGAGGACGTGCCTGCTGGGATCCCAATCTTGACAGAGGGGATAGTCTTCAAGGTGAAGCGGGATGAACAGGGGCAACCGATTTGCTTCAAGGCACGTTGGGGTGGTTAAGGGATGCGGGCAGACATGGGGAACCTATGATGAGACATACGCCCCAGTCAGCCAAGGTCCAACTTCTCGCCTATTTGTTGCAGGAGCAGCAGCAAAGAAGCGGAAGGTGGTGCAACTGGACATTTCCAATGCCTTCCTTTATGCCCCAATCGACAAAGATGTGTACGTTCGACCACCTTTATCCTCGGCGCGATGGAGACAAGGTGTGGAAGCTACGAAGCAGTGTCTATGGACTGAAGCAAGCACCTCGCCTATGGCATCAGCACTTACGAGGCGTCTTAATGGAGCTGAACATGACGCAATCTGAGTCAGACCTAGCATTATTCATCTGGAAGCGCCAAGGGAAGGACACTGTGTGGCTCCTGACCTATGTCGATGACATCCTCATCCAATCGGACGATGAGGATGGCATACAGGAGGTGGTTCATCACTTGAAGCAGAATTTCACCCTGACAGTCAACACAACCATGTCACAGTTCTTGGGGCTCAACGTCTCTGCCACCGATGGCATGATCTCACTTGGACTCTAAGTACATCTCATAGGCACTGGCGAACTTCGGAATGGAGGGTGACCGTTCAAAGGTTCGGACGCCCATCACCAAAGAACCAGGTCCTCAGGAGGAGCCACCAGACCAGGTGGATGGGCAGCTGGTGCTGAGACAGGTTGGAACACTGTTATATGCTTCAACCGCGGGGAGGCGAGACATTACCTATGCAACGCATGTGCTGGCGCGACAAGCAAGCAAGCCAACAGCTGAGACAATGATGGGGATTCAACGTGTCTTCAAGTACCTTCAAAATACAGCAGACATTGGACTTGTCTATGGGTTTGGAGATGCAGTACTGCGGGGATACACCGACTCTGACTATGCGAACGAGGACGGGTGTCATTCGGCTGGAGGCTATGTATTCATGCTAGGAGGGGCGGCTGTTAGTTGGAGAACCAAGAAACAGACAGTGATTGCCACATCGACAACAGAAGCAGAGTACATTGCCATGTTTGAGGGCACTTGGGAAGCAGCCCATCTGCGACGGCTGTGTGAAGACTTGGGTTTACCACAGCAAGAACCAACTGTTCTCTATGTTGATAACCAAAGTGCCATTGCTCTTGGCACTGGGGAGCAGATGAGCCAGCGGATTAAACACATAGAGGTGCGATATCACTGGACTAGAAAGGCAATTCGTGATGGGATGGTAAGGCTCGAGTACTGCCCTACCACGCAGCAAGCAGCAGACTACTTGACCAAACCAGTGACCGCAAAACAGCATCTCATCTGCAGCCTTCTCAGCGGCCTTTTACCAATTCCTCCTGGCACGAAATCTCAGCCAGGGCTGGCCAAGGCTGCTGTACCGTGTGAAGCATCGTCATACCATAATGAGCACCTTCACCTTCCTTAGGTTCACCGGTGCAAGTGAGCAGGAGTGCAGCACTTTGCTCACCTGTGATGAGGTGATACGTGTCGTCTCTGCACAAGGCAGGGGGAGTAAGCAGAGAGGTTGTCATCAACCATGCAATCTGCCATACCGAAATCTCAGCATGGTTCTGCAGTTGATTCCGGCAGCAGCAGTTGATTCCGCCAACAGCAGTTCATTCCGGCAGCAGCAGTTGATTCCGGCAGCAGCAGTTGATTCCGCCAACAGCAGTTGATTCCGCCAGCAGAAGTTGATTCCGCCAGCAGCAGTTGATTCCGCCAGCAGCAGTTGAATTCGCCAGCAGCAGCACCAGCTGCAAGCATTTTGGAGTAGTAGCAGCAGGATTTCGTTCGTTGCAGCAAACTCGCCATGCTGCAGCGCCATTTCAACATGCTGCAGCTCCATTTCAACATGCTGCAGCTCCATTTTAACATGCTGCAGCTCCATTTCGACATGCTGCAGCTCCATTTCGACATGCTGCAGCTCCATTTTCTAGGCGACTATCGCCTCCGGCGCAGCGAAAAAATATGTGGAAATACTTGTGCAAATAGCCTCAAGGGCCTTGCCTCCAAAAGTGATCTCAAAGTAGCTGCTAATCGTCAATACGAAATGGCAGCAATTTCCACTAGAAACAATGAGATACAAAGCACAAATGTTCAAACAGATTTATAGTGGAAGTACAAACGATTTCGCGCTTCGTAACTGCCGTGTGCGCTGCGAGTAACTCGCGCGCCTCGTGTCAAGCCGAGTCGCACACGCAACCGCGACTATCTTGCTGAACACGCCGCTGGTCCGAAGTCCGAATGCTTGTTGAACACGCCCCGTCCGAAACCCAACTTTTGCCCCACGTCAATCTGTTTCTCGTCAATTCCATTCCTTTCTTCCACTCAATCACTCTTTCCTTCAACCTTCTCTCTTTCTTCTCTCCTTTCCGTACACCTCACGCTCACGCAATACCCGCTTCCTAGTTCCTTCTCGTCCCCAAGTCCGCATTTCTCTCCTCGTCACCCCAAGTCACGAGTAGTCCGTTGTGGGTGGCGGAACCACTCCAACAACCTCCCCTGTGGTTCTGCCAGCCACACCCTCTAAGTTACCTTCACACTCCCCTGCATGTCCTTCAAGGTACGTATCCCGACCTTCTCCTTACAGTACTCAAAGTTGGCCCTTGGCAGCACCTTGGTCAAGAAATCAGCTGCCTGCTCCTCAGTGCGCACAAACTCGAACTTGAACTGCTGCTTCTCTAACTGCTCCCTCACCCAGTGATATTTTACATCCATGTGCTTAGTCCTCCCGTGCCAGTTGTCGTTCTTTGCCAAGTCCATAGCTGACTTGCTATCCGTCCTTACCACTGTAGGCCCCTTCACGTCTATCTCAAACTCGTTCAGCAACCTCCTCAACCACACTCCCTCTTGGCATGCAAAGAACAATGCCATGTACTCCGCTTCAGCACTTGAAAGTGCTATATCTGCCAACTTCTTAGCTTGCCACGTAATAGATGTCCCTCCGAGTAGGAACACATATCCATATGCCCCTCTCCTGGTTTCCTTGCATGATGCATGTGAGGCATCAGCATACCCCACCAGCTCCAATGTCTCCTCTCCTCCTTCAAATAGTAAACCCTCATCCTGATGCTGCAGCAGGTAATCTAATGTCCGCCTCATCTCCCTCCATTTCCTCCCCTGCTGTGCGTGCTGCCCCAAGTAGCTTGCTGCATAGGCCATGTCAACCTTGGTGCATGAGACTGGGTACATAACTTGTCCCACCATAGACTGGTACATCTGCAGCGCCCGCTCCTGACCATCCCACTTCAGCACATCCTCTTCACTCTCATTATCACTTTCTGCCATTCCACTTAGCGGTGTAGTAATGGCTTTCGCATAGCCATGACCAAACTTCTGCTCCACCCTCTTGCAGTACTTCTGCTGATATAAGAACAGCTTCCTCTCTTCCCTGTTCCTCTCCAGATTCATCCCCAGAAACAGCGTCGTCCTCGGAATCTGCTTCACTTGGAACTCTTCAGCGAGGTGCTCACACACCTTTTCTACCTCCCCTGGAAGTGCCCCTGCCACTAGAATATCATCCACGTAGAGCAGTAGGTACACCTTCTCCTTTCCAGCTCCCCTCCAGTAGAACGCCCTGTCACACTCACTCTTATGAAATCCCCCTTTCAGCAGCCTCTCGTCCATCACCTTGTTCCACTCCCTGGGACTCTGCTTCAGACCGTATAGTGCTTTAATAAGCTTGCACTTCTTGTTAGTGCCGTCCTCAAACCCTGGTGGCTGCTCCATATACAGCTCCTCCTTAACTACCCCATGCAGAAAAGCGTTCTTGATGTCCAGCTGCACTAGAAAGTAGTTCCTTGCTGCTATAACCTTGAGAAATGCCCTTGCAGTCGTCAGCTTGCTTACAGGAGCATAAGTATCGGTGTAGTCGATCCCCTCTACCTGTGTGTAGCCCTTCGCCACTAACCTAGCCTTAAACCGCTCCAGCTGCCCCTTGTCTCCTGTCTTAATCTTGAAGACCCATTTCACCCCGACTGCACTCCTTCCCTCTGGCATGGGCATTAACTCCCAAGTGCCCCTCTCTGCTAGTGTATCCAGCTCCTCCTGAATAGCAGCTCTCCACTGCTCCTTTTGTGGTCCTGTCAAGGCCTCTTCCACTGTTAAGGGCTCATTAGGCAGCCCATACGCCTCCCGTCTTGCCCGTGATACTAGTGCAGTTGCTGATATGGTTAGGAGAAGATGGGTATGCACGTTCTTCCATGGAGTCATGAGCAAGTGAACGTACTTAGGGTTTCTCTTCTTCTCCCTCTTCCCTCGCCCCAACTCCTCAGCAGGTGACTCCACCTCACTGTTCTCCTTCTCAGCTGCCTCTTGCTCGTCCTGTCCTAGTACCCCTATCGCTGTTGCCCCACCCTCCAGTAGTTCCTCAATCTCCTACTGCTTCACGACTGTCTGTACTATCTAGCAGCTTCCATGGATCGTGACCATCTCGTGCAGTTGATCCCTGCTCACTCTCCCTTGGTGCCATCTCCACCTCAGTCGTTGCATCCTTCTCCTCTGGCTCTATCTCCTGCTGCTCCATCTCCTTTCTCCCCTGTGCAGCCATTTTCTCTCGAAGCTCCCACACCCAAGTATGTGCTTCTTCTTCTGCAATCTCCTCTACTTCATCTCCAATCCCTTCAATCGATGTCTCCTCCAGCAGCCCTTCCACCTTCTCTAGGTTAGCTGCTTCCCCTGCCGTTGCAATCTCCGAACTCACCCCTTTCCACTTCAAGTAGGTGACATTCTCATAGAATATCACATCTCTGGTCACCACCACCTTCCCTATCTCCACATCCTTGATCACCCATCCTTTGCTCACCATGCACATCCCAAGGTTAAGCCCCCACTTACTTCTAGGTAGTAGCTTATGGGTTGGTCCAGCTGGCTCCCTGTACTGCACCATGCAGCCCCATACGCGAGCCAACCCCATATTCGGCTTCCTCCCATAGAATGCTTCATGTGGGGTCATATCTGCTGCCAAGCCCTTGGTAGGTAGCCTGTTCTTAACCCAACAAGCCATCCCCAAGGCATCTCCCCAGAACTTCAGTGGTAATCCGCTGTCCGCTAGCAATGTCCTTACACAGTCCAGCAGTGACCTATTCACCCTCTCCGCTATACTGTTGTGCTGTGGAGTGTAAGGCACTGTCCATTGCCTCAGAATCCCCTTGGAGCGCAAGTAGCTGTTGAACTCCTCATTGACAAACTCCCCACCATTGTCAGTTCTCAGCACCTTCAGCTGCTTCCCACTCTGCCTTTCTGCTTCCACCATCCAGTCCAGAAAACTAGAGAAGACCTCCGTCTTATCCTTAAGCTCAGTCACCCATGTGTGCCTAGTCCCTAAGTCTGTAAAGGTGACAAAGTATTTGCTCCCGTGCCTGGATGCCACCCTCAGCGGCCCACACACATCAGCTGCTACTATCTCCAGCGCTCCATATGGCTCCTGCACCTGATGCTTGGGATGGGGGGATTTGGTGATTTTGCCCTCCACACACTTGTCACACTTCCCCTTGCTCCCATCCCCATCCTTCAGTTCCACTCCAACTGTCATTTCTTTCTGCACTAACTCCTTAATCCGCTCCATCCCTGCATGTCCCAACCTCCTATGCAGGGTCTCCATGTCTACCTTAGCCGCTGCTGCCACCATCGATACCAATTCCTTCCGCAGCTCCTCTACAGGTACACTTTTCAAGCTCGCCCGCAGCTCCTCCCTTGCCAGCACCCCTTCCTCCGTCGGCTGCTGGTAGGTAACCTTCTCAGCTGTCATGCCCTTCTCATTCAACAGCATTTCATACAACCCATTCTTCAGCATGCCCTTAGCAACCACATTCCACGCATGGTCAAACATCCACACGCTGCCCTTGTTACTGAATGTCTTGCATCCAGTGTTGTCAAGCTGTGACTGACTGATCAAATTCAGTGACAGACCATCAACCAGCAGCACATTCTCCAGTTTCAACTCCCCATACTGCCCTTGCAAAATCAGATCTCCCTCTCCCTTCACAAGCAATTTCCGATCATCTCCCACAAGCACATACGGCACACTTGATGCCCTCAAAGCATTCAGCCACTCACTGTGATTGGTCATATGCTGTGTGCACCCACTGTCCATATACCATGCAGCTTCTCCACCCCCTTTTGCCATCAGGCACACCCCTGATGCACGCGAAGTTACAGGGGAACATTCGCCTTATGTGCACCACCCAAAATAACATCAGCTTCCCTCTTTTCTGCTTCAGCTGCATGTGCCTTTGCCGGTGCCGAACCTTGCTGCTGTGTTCCCCTGTAACTCCGGCTGTTGGGGTTCGAGTAGCAATCGATAGCTCTATGCCCTATCTTCTTGCAGTGGTGGCAAGCTCCAAAGAACTTTCCCCTCTGCTGCCTACTATCTCCTCTGCTACCCCCTTCCCCACTCTGCTGCACTCCATTCCATCCCATACCAGGAGCACCTTTCCCCTTGTAGTTGCGGCTCCTCGGGTTATCATAGCAGTCAAATGCCTTATGCCCCATCTTGCCGCAGTGGAAGCATGCACCCATGCCTCTCCCTGCAGCGACTGCATTCACCATTGCAGGCTTCTCCTGCTCCACACCCTCAGCCCCATTTTCTCCTTGGGCCGCTTTCTCCCGTCGTGTCACATCCTCCTTGGATATCGCCAAGGCTTGCAGCATCTCCAGAAGCTTCGTCATATTTGCAGGTGGATTGCAAATCAACGCAGGTCGATCTGATGCCCACTCCTTCGAGAGCCCGTTGACAATGTAACCCATCATTGCCTTTTCGTTCTCCTCAGCTCCCATTGCGGCCAAATCGTCGTTGTAGCTCTTGGCTCGATTGATGTACTCGATGACGGCTTCTTTCGGCTCCATACTCAGCAAAAGCAGCTTCCTCCTCACCGCAGCGATGTTCATCTCCATTTGGCCGAGGTAGGCTGACTCCATGTATGCCCATGCCACTTGAGCCGGATTTTTCTCGCCTGAAAACTTATCCAGGCCCACAGCAATTCCATCAGAAAAAGAATGGCACAACTGAAAGTATGCTTGCTCACTCCTTTTCTGATATCCCGAATCCTCCTCTTGGTTGCTTGTAGTTGCTACTCCTTCGGCCTTCTCACCTCGACGGTAGAATTGTCATAATCCTACCTCCTTCGCTCTCCTTATGAACTTCAAGCGCCACGTACTATAGTTACTGCCATTAAAACGCTGGGCTTCACTGAGCCCTATCGTTGGTTTCGCTACCAACGACCCATGCGCTAGCAATTCTAAAAGAGCCTTAACCTGGGGGTCTCCAATGCTCACAGAGGAGCCCGAACTAGCCTCTCCAATATCGCCTGTCATTCTTGAGGCTTCGTCCTACTCTTTAGAATGCTACAACGCCCTTACACCCGGCTTCACTTGGCGCACTAAATAGAGTCGCATAGAAATTTCGCCAGCACTCCGACGCTAGCTCTGATACCAGTTCTAGGCGACTATCGTCTCCGGCGCAGCGAAAAAATATGTGGAAATACTTGTGCAAATAGCCTCAAGGGCCTTGCCTCCAAAAGTGATCTCAAAGTAGCTGCTAATCGTCAATACGAAATGGCAGCAATTTCCACTAGAAACAATGAGATACAAAGCACAAATGTTCAAAGAGATTTATAGTGGAAGTACAAACGATTTCGCGCTTCGTAACTGCCGTGTGCGCTGCGAGTAACTCGCGCGCCTCGTGTCAAGCCGAGTCGCACACGCAACCGCGACTATCTTGCTGAACACGCCGCTGGTCCGAAGTCCGAATGCTTGTTGAACACGCCCCGTCCGAAACCCAACTTTTGCCCCACGTCAATCTGTTTCTCATCAATTCCATTCCTTTCTTCCACTCAATCACTCTTTCCTTCAACCTTCTCTCTTTCTTCTCTCCTTTCCGTACACCTCACGCTCACGCAATACCCGCTTCCTAGTTCCTTCTCGTCCCCAAGTCCGCATTTCTCTCCTCGTCACCCCAAGTCACGAGTAGTCCGTTGTGGGTGGCGGAACCACTCCAACACATTTCGCCATGCTGCAGCTTCATTTTGGCATGCATCTCAGACATTTACCATGCAGGAGAGATTTGCCATGGCTGCATATCCATTTCGTCATGACTCAGTTGCAATTCGCCAAGCCTAAGCTGCATTTCGCCATGCACCATTTCGTTCAGCAGCAGCAGCAGCAATTCGAAATAGCACGGCAGAAAATCGCCAGCAGCAGTAGAAAATCGAAATGCTCAAGGGAAGCTGTCATTTCGTGCAGCAGCTGGATCTACGATCTAAGAAGCAGCAGATCCATTTTAGGAAGTGTTAGGGAGAGGGGAGCAGGTCGAAATGAGCTTGGATTTGGGCAGAGTCGAGCTAAGGGGGAGGATGGATAAACAATGGAAGGCAGGCGTGAGTTGCGGGGAAGGAGGCTGAGATCGCGTTGGTGGTACGCGGTGAAGCAGCCAAACCCTATCCCGGAGGGTGTTCGCGCAACAGTTCTCGCATTACTCGACCCAGCAGCTGCTACACTTCTCTACAGTTTACAATATCACTAAATCTGCAGCAAGGGGGAGTGTTAAAGATACAAGAATTGAAGTTACATGCTGTTAGATTTTAGGGACTTATTCTCCTCCTTATAAGAATTCCCTAGGCTCTAGGATCTACAATAATTCTCTGAAGTATTGTAGCATGGAAATTATTGGAGTCCAAGGGCTCTTGAGGGAATCAACTTCCCTTGACGCCATTATTGCCACTCAAGAATTGAGTTGGCATTATTGGACTTGCATTATTGGAGTGTTTGACTGCATGGTGGTCCCTTCTTGGGGTCTTGGGGAGGAGAAGCTCATGCATAAATTGTTAGAATACGTGAATGATTACTAGAAGGAGAAACCTATAACATATACATGTTGGGTTGTACTCACTAGAAGCACACACCTAGTCTAGCCTATAACTTCAACATAGAACATATGTATAAGTTGTCACACCCCCTAGGCTAGATAAGGGGTGGTGCTAAGCAAGAAGCACACAGCTCAAGGTGGCACTACTAGTCCAACCACTAAGGCAGGGGTCCGGAGACCAGTCCGCAAGAGTACAAACAAGACTAAAGCAAGCCAGGGCGGCACTACTAGTCCAGCCACTAGAGGTAAGGCCACAAGGCCAGTCAGACATGTATATATAGTAGAGAGTACACAATCATGGCCCTAGCAAATGAGGAGCTACAGGAACAAGACCAAGCTGGACATAGTGCCGCTGATGATCTTTAGGCGCAAGCGCCTTAGTAAAGATATCAGTTCTGTTGGCACCGGAGGCCAAGTAAACTACACGGGCCAGGCGACGCTGCTGTAACTCGCGCAGGAGGAAGTACTGCAGCTGGATATGCTTCGCTCTGCCCTCAAGCCGAGGCTCCTGACACAGGAGGATCATGGCCCTGTTGTCAGCGTACAGGACCGGGGCAGAGCTAGGCCGCTCACCTAAGTCAGTGAGCAAGAAGGTCAGCCAGCGGAGCTCCTATGCCGTCATGGCACCAGCGTAGATCTCAGCCTCACAGCTCGACTGAGCAACAGATGACGAGCGAGTGGATCTCCAAGAGATAGCACCCGAACCAAGGCTAAAACAGTAGCCCTGAGACGACCTGAGAGTCTCAGAGTCGTCGGCCCAAGAAGCGTCTGTGTGCCCAGTGAGGACCACCGGCCTGCGTCCTCCTAACACTAACCCCATGCCCGATGTACTTGCTAGATATCGCAGAACCCTCTTAGCGGCCGACCAGTGCTGTGGCCGGTGTCTACCAGTGGCCACAAAGCGAGCCAGGATGCTGAGAGGGTATGCAAGATGTGGGCGAGTGCAAGTCATCAGGTACATGAGGCAACCCACCAGCTCTGCGTAGGGTCCACTGGGCTCTACTGGCTCCGCAGGAACTAGAGCAGAGAGCCAGTGGTCTAGGGGCAAAGGAGTGGGCTATGCGGAGGAGAACTGAAGACCGAACCTCTGAAGGACCTGACGCACCAAGTGTGACTGTGTCAGAGTGATGGTGCGTGCTGCTCTGTCCCTGGAGATCTGCAGGCCAAGATAACGACGCAGCTCTCCAAGGTCACTACAGGTGTGTCTCTTCAGCAGCTCGGCCGTCACAGAGGCTAGTGCGTCCCTGTTCGCAGTAGCAAAGACCAGGTCATCTACGTAGACAAGGATGTAGAACGGAGTCTGGCCGGAACGCACAAACAGCGAGGGGTCAGCAGAGGATGGAAAGAACTCTTTACGTGAGGTCTGCTAACGTGGCACGCAGCGTGTCGTGCCACTCGCGAGGAGCCTGACGCAGGCAGTAGACCGGGTGCCGGAGAAGCCACTGGGTCCCACGGGGGAAGGTCCTAGTGAAGCCCTGAGGTCGACGCAGGTAGACCTGCTCGTGTAGGCTGCCCTGAAGAAAGGCAGTAGAGAAGTCGAGGGAGTGAAGCTCGTAGTCGCGCTGTGCTGCTACGTGTAGCAGCGCCCGAAGAGTGGTCATCTTTGGGGTTGGGGCGAAGGTCTGGAAGAAGTCAACCGCCTCGCGCTGGCTGAAGCCTCTGGCCACGTAGCGCGCCTTGAAGACAGGCGGCTCTCCAGGGGGGCGCTTCACCTTGAAGAACCACCGACCATCGACTACGTTCACCCCAGGCGGGGGAACTGCGTCGACGTAAGTGCCGGTGGACCTCCAAGATGCCATCTCCTGCTCCATGGCAGCTATCCACTGAGAGGCCCAGGGTCCCGAGGTGGCCTCAGCGTAGGTGCGAGGGGTCGGGATGTCGAAGGCGTCTGGGTCACCCTCTGGGACTAGGAGCATGGAGCTGAGATGGGGAGCGGCCTCGGAAAGGAAAGCAAGCTCGTACTACATGTCCTCTAGTACGTCACTGCCAAGGGCAGGTGCACCCCCGACGGGCGCAGGACGGGCAGGGTCAGAGGCCAGAGCGGTAGCGTAGTCAAGGCGGCGGGTAGAGGCGAAGTCAGCGACAGCAGCAACAAGCGCGTCAAGGCAGGAGACAAGAACAGACGGGTCTGTAACAAGAGAGGCAAGGACCCGAGGGACAAGGGGACTAGCGGCACGGAGGTAGTCAGACAGCGGGGGAGGTGCAACAACGAGCGATGAGGGAGGAGGCGAGGGGAGGAGGGGAAGACGAGACGAGTGAGAACGGAGTAACAGGATGGGAGCGCGGGACAGGGGAGACGGGACGAGCACGGGAGGGACGGCGAGACCAAACGTGGGACGGAGGTGCAGGGTCAGGAGACAGCGGAGGTGACACAAGGGAAGAACGAGGAGGAAGACGGGCCGGAGAAGAGTCCGGGGGCGGGAACACAGGGCCGTAGACAGGAAGGTGAGGAGGAGGTGGGGGAGACACCGACGAGCGGTCATGGGAGGGAAGGCCGAGCAGGCGAAGAGCGGAGACCGGCGGCGATGACTGCGGCGGCTGCTACGGCGGCTGGTGCTCGACCCTCGAACTGGCAGGGGCACGACGACCTCCGGGAGAACACTCAACAGCAGCACCCCTAGAACCAACACCCCCAGAGCGAGAACCCTCTCCAGCCCCAGCGGCACCCCCAGGCCCGCCGGGACAGACCACACCAGGAGCCGCAGGACGAACACACTCCTCAGCGCCAGCACCCCCAGAGGCCAAGAGCGGCAACGGCGGCAGCGGCGGCGGCGTCAGCGACGGCGGCTGCGACGGCGGCGGCGGCGACGACAGCGACGACTGCGACAGCGGGGGCGGAGACACCAGGGAAGGGGGACGCGGCAAAGGCGGGGCGGGGGGAACACCAGAGTCAGCAGACTCCTCAACAGGGACAACTGACGGGAGTGGAGTGACATGGGAGACACCAGACAGGGCAGGACGCGGCGGGAGGGGAGGAGGGGCTACCGGGGGAGAGGGGGCAAGGAACAAGGAGGGGAGAAACCGGGCGACATCGGTGAGGGAAGCGACGGTAGAAGGAGACGGACTCGTGAAAGGTGACGTCATGAGAGTGGAGGAAGGGTGAGACTGCGGGTGGTAGAAGAGCCAGTCAGACGAGTCCAAGGGGAAACCAAGGAAGACACAGGGGACAGTGCGGGCAGTGAGCTTGTCAGTGCCAGAGGCACGAACGTGAGCAAGGCAGCCCCAGACGTGGAACGCAGACGCGTCACCGGGGGACCCGGTCCAAAGGAGGGTCGGCGAAACCTGCGGCCGCTGGGAGCGTGGCCACAGGTTAAGCTGGTGAGCGGCGTAGCGAACGGCGAACGGCCACAGAAAATGGGGTGCACTGGCATGGATGATGGAGGTACGAGCCACCTCCATGACCAAGTCGATGCGGCACTCAGCAACCCCATTCTGCTGTGGCGAGTCCGGCAAGGTGTACGACAGGGTGGTGCCCTCCGCACGACAGAACTGTCCAAGCCGACCAGAAGCGAACTCTCCGCCACGGTCAGAGTGGAGACACAACACGGGGAGACCGCGGTGAAGACGCGCAGCCACAATCCACGGGAGAAGAACGTCAGGCACATCGGCCTTCCGCTCCAGGGGAAACACCGTGGTGTAGCGCGTGTAGTCGTCGACGAGCACAAGAAAGTAGCGCTCGCCACGCGGTCCGGGGACGGGGGCTGGGCCCCAAACGTCCAGGTGCAGGGTCTGAAGGGGGGCAGTAGCAGGGCGAAGCGAGGAGGAGTGAGGGGCACGGCGGAGCCGGCCCTCGACGCAGGGCGTGCACGGTGGAGCAGGCGAGAGGGGAAGGGCGGGGAGCGACGCGGGGAGGCCTAAGACAAGACCGTGCTGGGACATGTGACGCAGACGCGGGAGTGCAGGGTGACCTAGGCGGTGGTGCCACAAAAGGGACGGGTGAGTGAGAGACTGACACGAGCAAGCTGCAGTGACCTGGGAGGACGCACCAACCGGGGGGGAAGCAGTGTCTAGGGTGAACAGTCCGGACACCGGGTCCCGGGGGAACGTAGCAAGTGGGGAACCTAAGAAAGCCTCAGAACAGACAGCGAACCGCTCATGCCCGGGGAACGTAGTGGTGACGCCG